TTAGGGTGGGAGTGACCCGATTTTCCAGGTTCTGTGTGTCACAATTTCCCTTGGCTAGGAAAGGGAATTCCCTTACCCCTTGTGCTTCCCGGGTGAGGTGATGCCTCGCCCTGCTTCGGCTCTCGCTCAGTAGGCTGCACCCACTGTCCTGCACCCACTGTCCGACAAGCCCCAGTGAGATGAACCTGGTACCTCAGTTGGAAATGCAGAAATCACCCACTTTCTGTGTCACTCACATTGGGAGCTATAGCCTGGAGCTGTTCTTATTCAGCCATCTTGGAACCTGATCTGCCCTCCAGTCTTAATTAATTCAAATTAACATATCAATTCAACTTAACAATTATTTATTGATAGTACTTAGTCCCAATAAGTGCAAGTTTGTTAATGGCATTATTATTGCTTAATAATGTGTTTATTTCACTTTAATACAGAAGAATATTTTCTCTGGATATACAATTATATATTGGCATATTAAAGATATCATCCCATAACGTCTAGCCTCCTTCTTACTGAGAATTCAGCCGTCAATCTAATGTTCTTTGGAATGTATTATGTCCTTTGTCCTCTGGTTGCTTTTAACATTTTATGATTTTCTTTGACTTTCTGAAATTTTACTATCATGCTGCATTTTTTGTTCTTCTTGCTTAGGGCTTTTTGGGCTTCTTGAATCTCTGGGCTGATGTTTTCCATCAGTACTGGAAAGTTCTCCATCATAATATTCATATAACTAAATATATATTGCAAAAAAAAAGCTTTATACAAAACCATGAATAATTCCTAGCATGCATACTGTATGATTCCATTTACATCAATATTTAAAATAGGTGGCCAGGCATGGTGTCTCATACCTGTAATCCCAGAACTTTGGGAGGCCGAGGTGGGTGGATCACCTGAGGTCAGGAATTTGAGACCAGCCTGGCTTATATGGCGAAACCCTGTCTCTACTAAAATACAAAAATTAGCTGGGTGTGGTGACATGCACCTGTAAACCCAGCTACTGGTGGCATGGGTGGGGGGTGCTGAGGCAGGAGAATTGCTTGAACCCAAGAGGTGGAGGTTGCAGTGAGCCAAGATCGTGCCACTGCATTCCAGCCTGGGCAGCAGAGTGAGACTCCATCTCAAATATAAAAAATAATAAAACAGGCAAAAATATAGTGTGGTAAAACTACAACAGAAAACAATGGTTAGAATTCATAAAAGAAAGAATAGTGTTTCCCAGCAGATGAGGAAAAAACAATGTATTTAGAGAGGACCACTTGGGATGGGGAGTTTTCAGTGGTTTGAGCAATATTGAACTTTCTGACCTGGTTTGTAGTTACACAATTTGAATTAAAATAGTTCAAAATATTAATTTAAATCTTATGCCTTTTCTGGTATGTGAATTATATTTCACCAATATGAAAGTCCCACACCTATGCACATGTACACACACACAGAGGAAATAACAAGGGAGAAACTGCTTAGGCAAACTGGCCACAGATAGCCTCTCTAAACATAGAAAGAGCATTTTTATTGTCTCAGAAAGACACTTTGCAAGTATGTAGTAAGCTCACCAATACTGGCAGCTACTTGCCTCCTTGAGTGCACTGGCATTTTGAGAGGAAGTCTCTGGGAGTGGCCTTCACGTACTTGTGAATTTACCATGCAAAGTAGGGGAGGAGTCCCTAATTTCTCCTTAGCTGAGGTCACCTTTAAAAAGAATTCTCAGGGGGATAGTAGGTTTGTTGGTACAAAATATTAAAATCCAGGACTTTTATGTAATCTGCAAGCTCCAATAGGAACGATAAATAAATTATTGGTTACTTCTTCACTCTTGAATCCCAGACCTGCCTCCCTGGTCACTTTAATGTCCAGGATATCTTCTCCAACCCTCAGTACAATAGAAAGAAATTATCTGGGGAACTGTCAACATATTGAGAGATTCTGAGATTCACAGAAATTCGTAAGAGATGGAAAGTTTCATGGTAGCAAAGAACGTACACAGAAAGGCTCCCCAGAACCATAATGGCTCCTAGAAACTCTTTCTTGGATCTGCCCATATTGTCTGAATATTTCCTCCATCTTTCATGTCCCTCAAGAGGATAGAATTACTCTGATTTCATCTAGTTTAAGTCACCCAGAGCTATGCTGTTCACTTGCCTGAGGGAAAAGAACAGGCTATTCTGATCTGACCATTCCTTCAAAGCCTGACAGAGAAGAACTGGCCCTTCTCTGCACACTACTAGTGTAAGTCCTGTGGTATTAGGAAAACTCCAGGAGCCTGGCCACTGGTGCTGCAGTGGAACCATAACTGTGGTTCATCTGGTTTACCCTCCTCATATGTAAGGTCTGCCTAAGCTGAGATGTCTTTCCTCAAATCCTGGTATTCATCACTAGCCCAGTTAATATATTCAAAATGATTATTATGTAAAAACATCTCAGTTACCAGTGAAACTCAGGATGTGTTGCTGTATCCCTCTGTGAAGCGTAGATTTATTTCTTTTAAAATTAATAACTGATTGGAAGGTGAATTTCCATTCAAAAATCATCATTTTTTTAAATTTGCAGGATAACATTGGAGATGCAAACTAAAAGTTCTCAGCCATAATCTAAACATCTTCTAATCGCACACAGAGACATAACTAAGTACCCCATCACTCTCAGCGTTGCCAGGGCTTACTCTTCTGGACTAATTGAGTCTCCCGAACTCAGTGCTAGAGAGGAGGGACCGTGAATAAAGGGCTTTACAAAGTTCCACAGCGTTCAAAACAATAAGGCAAAAGGGATTCCTGAATACTTTTTGGCCACAGGTCTGGAATTTATGACATAAGAAGAATTTGGTGGTGGGGACTCCCTTAAGGCAAAAAGTAAAAGGATTAGTGTCACAAAGAAGCAGAGTGAGACTCAGTAAGAAAATCAGGTATCAGGGCCAGGAGGTTAGGGAGTATTCATACATTTGAGGAGATGTTAGGGGTAAGTCGAGAAAGGAGTTCAAATATAAGCAAGGAATACAGGTGGATCAGTACAAATCATTGGCTGGGAGGAGGAGATTTCTGCTGTAGGGGAAGTGGTATAATAACATTATAGAGGTGTAATTAGGTAAGGAGACGTTTCTGACAGGGCGGAAGAACAGAACATTTCCTCCTTTCTTATGGGTGCCATTAGGCAAATAATTATGGGGTTCCTAGAAGGAAAGGAGAGGAAATCTCAAAAGGCAAGAGAAAGGAATGTAAAGATGCAAGGGAAGATGCTAAAGTTCAGGGAAATGAGAGCAAGGAAAGGAAGACTTCTGTCCATGAATACGCAGAACACAAAAATCGATGCTGTCATGTGTGCGTGTGTGTGTGTGTGTGTGTGTGTGTGTGCTCATGTGCATATGTGTGCACAAGTGTGTATGTAGTACATTAATACTTCATGGTGTTATTTTAAAACTTCATCAGCGTAGTCAGTGCCAGATCAGGAGTTAGTATATAAGTCTCTTCCTCTGTGCATGGAAATGCCAGTTTGATCTTTTGACATGTGATAATAACCTCCAAAATATCATGGATGCAAAAGTCTTTTATACATTACTCTCGCTGTCCCCAACCACTTCAGCCAACATCTTGCTTAGACCACCATCCCACTTGGCTGTAGACCTGCATTGTGCCCTGCTGCAACCTGCTTCCTTCCAGTTGCTACTCTTCTTCTCATATAGAGAAGATGCTCCTAGCAATATATGCTTTGCCCTAAGCATGGGCACGGGCTCTTCTGTCGGTTCTCTACAATGACAATGAAGACTAATCTGCAACATTCATTACAACGCACTGAATGCATAGCAACAACTGAAGGAAATGAACAGAAAACTTAGAATGAGATACTAGATATGGCTCCTCTTAGAATCCACGGGTTCAATCCCCTGGCCTGCCATCGAGTGAGAAGGACCAGCTTACCTTTCTCCAGATGAAGTAGTCTTAAATCTCTCTCTCCCAACTAAAGTCTAAGTCGCAGCCACGAGGAAGCCCCAAGAAAGGAAAACAGTTTCCTCCTCGCTTTCATTTTCTACCCTAGGGTCTGCTTCTTTCCAGGATGATTGACAGTGAGAAACTTTACTCTCCTCATGGGAACCCTCTGTATGCCTCTGAGCCTAACCTTTCTCTGTATTCCTAGAGGTATGTATTTCTAAGTCTGTGTTCAGCCTTCTTTTTGCCTTTCTGCATTCCAATGATTTATACTTATATATTCTCTCAGCTTTAATCAATGTCTTGATGTAGATGACTCTCAATTCTACCCATCCAGCCCAGTTTTTATCTTTGCATTCTTTTACAGTATGGTATAGTGAAAAGACCATAGAACCTGGCATCAAAAATCCTGAGTGGTAGAACTGGAATAAATCAGATTCAGGATTGACCTAGCCATTCCCTCTCCCACCAAGTTGCAAGGGAGAGAAATTACAGAGACATTGATTTCCCTAGGAGCAGCGTATGCCTTCCAAGAGCTTCCACAACGTCCCCACCCCTAACCTTTTGCAGGAAAGCCCAACTTTGCAGGGGTATAAATAGGCACTCTTGAATCTTCCTGCTATAGCCTGGCCCTCCCTCTTTCCAAAATGGACAAGTCCCTCTTGCTGGAACTCCCCATCCTGCTCTGCTGCTTTAGGGGTGAGTCCCTAGGGTTGACAGCTGGTAAGAATCCTGAATTTAGGAACAAGTGAGAGCACTCATGGCAGAGGCCTTCTCATGGAAGTCCTATCGTAACAGAAACATGATGAGCTTCTGCTCTAATGTTATGCCTTCTACCCGGGGTATGTCATATCCCCAGGACCTTAACTAAAGCTCTTCTCCCTTCCTTTATGGGGGGAAAGAGGCAGATTAGAGAGGAATCGAGTGGATTTCACAGAAGCTTTGAGATGGGGTTTGGAAAATGAAGTCTGCAGACAGTGTATCTTTTTTTTTTTTTTTTCAACAGCAGTATCTGGATCACTTTTCAAGAGAAAATTTGCAGGTGAGTAGAAATAGATAAGTGGTATGAGAAGGGGCAGGTCTGAGGAGGAAAAGATGGGTGGGGTGAGGTGAGCACCAGGGGCTAAAAAAAAAAAAAATAGAAATAGACCTTGAGTTCCAACACTCAACAACCTCTTCCAGCAGGACAGAGCTGGGATGGGAGCTGATTTTAGATTTGACAAAATAACATTAGCATCAACGGACAAGGTCAGGAGTGAGTGTCAGTGAAGGGCAAGGAAAAGGGAAAGGAGGAAGTGGAATGTTGGCTTTTCACGTGTTGCTTGGCCAAATCTAAAGCATGACAACTTCAGGAATTCCAGGTTGTCCCCATTGTCAGATTCCAGGCACCCACAGGTAAGAGTCAATTAAGACTCTTACCTTAATTGTGCCACACAGAGTCAATTAAAAAGAAGGAATGAAGCAAAAAAGCATGTGCACTTATCTTTCTCCTTCTGGTCTGTGCTGCATCCTATAGGAATGGTTAGATGAATCTGAGAAGCCTCGAAGAGGTGAAGAGATTTAGAAGGAGAGAAGAGGTGCAGAGATGCCCAGTAGGTGACTAGTCATTAGGGGGACAGAGGTCCTGGAATGGCTCCAATTTAAGAGTACAGGATGGACCCCAAAGGGCAGATTATAACAACCCAATACAAGAGTAAATCTCAGGCACATTTCAGATGTGTTTTCTTTCTCTTTGCCAGTACAGACAATGAAATAGCTACTGTGGAAGCTGAATTTCCTCGTAAGTATGAAGAGGACCTGCCGATCATCTCAGTCTTGATACTGTTTCACTTTTCCTTGTTCCTCCACCTTTCTTTCCCCTCCCATTTTTCAGGCTAACATTCCTGAGGCCATAAACCTCAGTCACTCTCGTGGCTTAGTGTATTTCCGCAGAGGAAGATGTTCATGCTTGATGGGCTCTGGCAAAGTCCTCTGGCTCCAGGCAGACTTCTAACCCAAAAAAGGGAGAGGGGTTCTTTTGTGGTAGTGCCATTGTTTCTCAATCTCTCTCCCCACTCTCCGGCCAAGTGACAGAAATTGTTCAGTGTAGGATGTGCCACCTCCAGTTCCCGGGAGAAAACTGCTCCAGAGGAAGAGGAATATGCACAGCAGGAACAGAAGAGGCCTGCATGGTTGGAAGGATTTCCAAAAGTAAGTTGTGGGTTGGGGAAAAGAAGAATGGGTAGAGGAAGTAGACAGGGACATATCAGCCACAGGGGAAAGGGGAGACCTTACTTTACTTTTACTATAGGCAGTCTCACACCTGGGATGGCTGATTCCTTCATCCGCATCATATACCGTAATGAAAATTAGATGGAAGTGGTCACTAAGGAGGGTGGGGGCCTACAGCTAAGGAATTAGTATTTTGAGAAGCCTGAAGAAAACAGAGGAGAATAAATCGAGGTGAGAGAATAGGTGTAATCTATGTCCAATGGGTAACAGTGAGTCGTTGAGAGGAGGGGGCTTTTGGTCCTTGTGCCTCTTGTGCCTGTCTGGGTTTCCTTACAGTTCGTTCTAAACTGTGGAAATAGAAGCGCCAGCGTCATCAGTAGACTGTGGCTGAATTGCCCTGGATGGTTAAGACAAGACATCATGATTTCTCTTTTTCCACCCTTTGTGCTAAATTGTCTCTTGGCATTTATAACCCTCACTTAAATCAGTGTTAAGATTCTCAAGAGAAACACCCAGCTTTGGCATTCCCTGAATTACTGTTCTTCTTACTGCCCTACCCCCAGTAATCATTTTAGACTGCTCCATCGCTGCATTTCTTTTGGGAAGCCCCCGACTTGCAACATCTTCCAGTTCTTTACATTTGAATAACGGAGCTTTGAACTACACAAGATTCTCTCTATATGTTGGTGTGGTCTGGAGAAAAGTTTTTTTGCAGAAGTTTCATGGCCAGGCTTTCTGATCTGTTTTTAATCCCTTCCACAGGGGACGGTAGTCCCTGGTTAACCTTCAAGGACTGCCTGAAGAACTGTGCTGACGTGAAAGGCATAAAGTGGAGTGTCTATTTTGTGAGCTTCAGCTGCTGCAGGAGCCACGACCTGTGCAATGAAGACCTTTAGAAGTGAATGCTTCTTCTGTGACTCCAATTTCTGGGTGAGGTTGTTGCCTCAGCCTCTTCACAATGACTTTCTTTAAAAAAATCTCTCTCACACACACACACGCACACTACAGAAGAGGATTGCAAAGACATGGCTCCATCTTCTGCACATGAAAGGAAAGTCCCTCTCCTTTTCTAGTCTCTGTCTCATCCCTTAAAATAAGTAAATAAATAACCTTGAGAGCAAGAACAAGATCAATATATCCTGCAGGTTGCCATAAACCCTTGCGCTTTCACTGTATAGCCAGTTTGTTCAGAAAAGAGGGAAAAGGATAGTTTAAATTCAAAAAAGAATCCCTTCCTCTTTCCTCTGCTGCTTTCCTTCCTTCTGTGGCAGGGTATTTTAATATTTTTCACATTTTTTTCTCTCTGTGTTATCTTTCTTATCCCACTCCAAAGAAAGCACATAACTGTGGCCTGAAGGGATGGGGAGTAGCAACATAAAAAGAAGTGGCTCAAGTCTTCTTGGAGTTTGTTCATGAATGTTAATCCCAGGGTGAGGAGAAGATTGGGACATGGAAAGGAAGCTGCACCAGAACCATGAACAGAGAAAGATTGTCTGCCTTCTAGAATCAGATCTGTTTGGGACTAGTGGTTGGAGAATAAAAGCAGGAGAAGTCTATGAGATTCCAGAGATAGTACCTGCATCCAGCTTCCCTGGCAAACTCACAAGGAGGCATCAACTTCTAGACAGGGAACAACTGCAGGATACTTCCAGGGGACAGAACCACCAGCAGGAACACAAATATTCCCATGCCTAGAGCACGGCATGGAGGAAGCTGAGAACTGTGCGGTCTGAGGAAGCCATTTGAGTCTGGCCACTAGACATCTCATCAGCCACTTGTGTGAACAGATGCCCCATGACCCCAGATGCTTCTCCCACCCTTACCTCCATCTCACACACACTTGAGCTTTCCACTCTGTATAATTCTAACACCCTGGAGAGAAATGGCAGTTTGACCGAACATGTTCACAAGGGTAGAGGCTGATTTCTAATGAAACTTGTCAAATGAAGCCCAGAAAGAGTGATGAATTATATTATATTATATAAAAAAATAATAAAAATATAAAGAAAGCTACCTTTCTTCTATACCCAAATTGCGTATCCTTCTTTCTCTCTCCTCCAACCTCTTCCTAATTCCTTTAACAAACATATGTTCAAAGCCTACTATGTTCCAGGTACTGCTAGACCCTAGTATGTATACAGCATCATAATCCCTATCCTCATGGAGCTTAAACTAATGGGAAAGACAGATCTTAAGTAAATAATAATAATAGCTTCCACTTATATGACAATTACTATATGAGAGGCATTGCTATAAACACTTTTTATCTTCTGACTCAGTTACTCTTCACACAAATCTGAAAGTCATACTACTCTCCATGTGGGTCAGTCAGAAACCAAAAACGGCACCAGTTATTTTTTACAGAGGCTTTAAAATTAAGAGTGGTTAACCAGGTATTAAAGGACACAAAAAGCCAAAAGGAGATATTGAGTTAACAAAGACAGAAACTGCAAGAAACACCTAAAACCTGTAGGTCTAGGGAAACACAAGGAAAATGTTGGACATCCATACTTCTAAGGTCTAAGGTAATTAAGGTAATTAGACTAATTAGACCTTAGAAGTGTGGGGAAAGGAAGTGCAGCTGGAGGATCTCTTGAGCCCAGGAATTCAAGGCTCTAGTGAGCTATGATTGTACAGTGGCACTCCAGTCTGGGTGACGAAGGAGGATCCCATCTCTAAAATTAATTAATTAATTAATTAAAAAGTGTGAGGGAGGGATCCCTTGGAACTGGAGCCCAAACATCTCAGGAACAAAGGACCTCCGTGAAAATAAAATGCGTACCTTTAGGGAAGGGGAACTGTTCAGATGGTGCTGGTATCTCTGTGGGGCACCAGGAAGCTGGTTCTGAAAGTGTGGGGGGAAAACCATGGAACAAAACCAACTGTAACTCTGAAGCCAACTGCCACTGCCCAGGTAAAAAGCTGTTGAGAGGAAGAGGAAACAGGAAAAGATGCATCTCTTGTCCAGCTTGCCAGTCTCCCTCCAGCACCCCCTATTGGCAGAATTTAACAAGGATCTAGCTTGCAAAAACCACCATCATAAAACAGAATATAGAAATGTGAACTTAAAACTGAGAGACAATCATTTAATACCAGTTCAATCACGCCTTTGACCTTTCAACATCTGTGCATACCTTTTTATGTGTTTGGACTCCATTAAACAAGAAAGGCAACTTCTTGCTTTTGCCTAAAGAGATGCATTATCCATACTTGTATGGATACAAGTAAAGATACTCTTATTTTTTCTCTAAATAAGGACACAAGAGTCCTAAAGTCATCTCTATCTCAGAGTGATATCCTTGATATTCATTTCCATGCAATATTAAATACTCTTGAAATTCAATCAATTCCACCTGTCAACTACCGTCAATAATTTTATGTAAAATAACAAAGAGATAGAGGAAAACAAGAAGAAAATACGACAAGAAAGGAAAAAGATACGCCTAGGTACCCAGTGTTTGTTTGTTTTTTTAACTGCTAATGAGGCTGCAAGCAATATTTATAACTTCCTTCTTCTGCTACCAATTCTATATTTTGTTTTCCACTACTAGAACCTCACTGGGTCAGCATTATCAATCTGGTGGGATGATGAAAATCTTCATTCTTGAAAGGTTCACATTTTCAATGGCCTGGATTTGTTTTTTCAGTTTCAGAGCTTTATATTTACTGTAATTGGACAGGAAGAATAAAGTAGCACTTCAGAGAATTTCCTGTATTCCAGACACAGTCATATCTACCTCATTGTGCAACAGCCATGCAATTCCCTTTTAACAATGGGGATCAGTTTTCTCAGCCTGTAGAATAACCTCTATGCTTATATTGTGGCATGGAGGCATCAGGATCCCAAAATGGTCTTAGCATTCAAATCAACTAAAGTATTGTTATGTTCCGTAGTGGAAGCATTTCTCCCTTAGTAACTAAGACTTCCAAATTAACAAAAATCAGTTGCAGGAATGGGAGAATTTATTCCCACTTCTACATCTTGATTCTTGGACTTGTGTACTCTGACTATGGGAAAAGCAGAATTATATATTAGTTGCTGGTTCTAAGCATATATTGCATTCTAAGATATAATCTAATCTTTTCAGAGTGTTTGCCCCCAACTTATAGTTAAATTGAGATTTCATCTGACCATTCATTCCATTATTCCATCAGGCTGGTTGCTTCTGATGATGGGGTGCATGGTAAGATAAATGATTTCCATGGGCATGAACATATTGCTCTACTTCTTTGTGGTGAAATAAGTTTCTTGGGTGGAAATAATTCTGTGTTTAAAACACATTGATGGAGAATAAAGCATTCCCTAAGTCCACAGTTAATGATGGTGGCAGAAGCATTATTAAGAGGAACATCCATATCCACAAATATCTGTTTATTCCAGTGAGAATAAATTCTAACCATGACAGAAGTCAAGCTATTAGCAACTAGCCATGAATTAATGTAGACCCATCCAGACGAAATGGATGAGACACCCTTGATTGTGGTTTAATGCTTAGGGAGTCCACTTCCCAGTTGTTGCCAGAATACCCATTTGTAAATGCCAGTTTCTCCTGTCTCAAATCAGTTCATTATTAAACAGAAAACTAAGAGGCCACAGGTGTGCAATAGAAGAGAGAAGGCAATGGAGCAGAACTACCTGCTCATGCAATTAACTTGTGCCATGCTGGCTGGCTTGAACCTGTTCTCTTGTTGCCTTCTCCTTAGTGGCAGATTGCTATTTAACACGCCCAATCTATGGATTCATGACCCAGAAAACCCAGTTCATGATGGGCAGCTCAGGTATCATGATTACTTGATGATCCATTGTTAGAGAAACTGATTAGAGAAGATTAAATTACTTGCCAAAGTCATATAAATAGAAAATGACAGAGGCAAGAGTCAAACTTAGGCTGCTTGTCTCAAGTCTTTACTCTTAATGATTACGCACAAATAACTAAGAAATAACTATAACAGGTGTAGGAAAAAATACAGGGTGATAAAAACAGAAGACAATGCTAACTGGGGTCTTAGGAAAGCTCTTTCTAAAGTTACGTTCAAGCTTAGAACCGTGGGCTAACCTATTAGGTCAGGGCAAGAGGGAGACGGTCGGGGGCAACCATGTACCAAAAGCACCTTCCTTCCAGGTAAAGGGAACAGGAGGTGCAAACCATCTGAGGAAAGAAGTTCCCTGCATGACCCCTTCCTTTGAGTGTTGTTTCTTTTTTCTCGTGAATTCAATGATTCTCTTTAGCCCTTTAGAAATCATCGTGGCCCATGTGTTTTTTGTTTTGTTTTGTTTTGTTTTGTTTCAAGGTACATCTGCCTTAGGTTTAAGATTCAGCTTTCTATTTTGGAGGATAGTAAACTCTCTCCTCATACACAGACTTATGAGATTATAAGAACAGAAGGCATGCCGGGTGCAGTGGCTCACGACTGTAATCCCAGCACTTTGGGAGGCCGAGGCAGGCAGATCACCTGAGGTCAGGAGATCGAGACCAGCCTAGCCAGCATGGTGAAACCCCATCTCTACTGAAAATACAAAAATTAGCTGGGCATGGTGGCATGTGCTTGTAGTCCCAGCTACTCAGGAGCCTGAGGCAGGAGAATTGCTTGAACCCAGGAGGCGGAGGTTGCAGTGAGCCGAGGTCACAGCACTGCACTCCAGCCCGGGCAACAGAGCAAAACTCTGTCTTGAAAAAACAAAAAAACAGAAGACAGGCTATTTGGCCCCCAAGAGATAAAGATATAGCATGATCTCTGTCTCTGTCTTCTAAAGTCAGTCCTAGATAAGCTCTGAAGCTGGGTTTCTATAAATCAACAAAACCATGAGAAGTTTGAGAAGTTCTGGCTGGAGGTGTTCAGTCGTCTGAAGCAGTGTGTTTGTGCCAGGGTGGGTCCGTGGGTGGTGGTACTGTTGGCCATAACCTTAGCGTATTAGAGAGCTGTCTAAATTCTGTGCTCACTTATCTTCTACATCTCTGTGGGACTATGTCACCTGTTACTTCAACACAGAAATTGGCATGGCCCAGACTATATTTTTGGGGCAAGAGTGCAGGGAATATTGTCAGGTCAGAAGTTATGAGTCTGTTCATTTCAAAGCCCCAGGAGTTGTACATTACAATTTAGTAAAACTGCCTCA